TATATATATATTTAAGAGAGTCACATGTTATCTTTTAGAACCTCTGACTTTCATTGGCTTCTACTTAGCTTCATATTAGCTTTTTGAAAGGTTCGTAGTTCGATCAGATCTTAGGAATGCTGAGGTGAGGCCCAGAGTCCTGCTGTCTGGTGGCATAGGCCGCCAGAGCACAGTTTTGAATCTGTCACTGTGTAGGAGTCATTCTGAAGGAAAGAAGTAGCATTTGCAGAGGAAGTGTTAAGACAAAATAGGCTCATCTTTTAATTATACCGATTCATTTGCTGCTGTGTTTGTTAGTTCATTAGTACTTTTAGGTTTCAGAACTTTGAGAGTGTCAGGCTAATTTCATTTCTGCTCACTGAACCTTCCCTGTTCAGCTAGAAAACGTAATGTTTTTCCTCAGCAGTACTGCATATTCATTTTTTTAAAAACAAAAAGCAAAACATCTTCATAGATGTTCTGATTTGAGAAGCACATGTTAGGAGGAGGAAAGTCACAGAAATGCAGTTACAATGAGGATTTGGTCTTTGTGTTGTTATGATACTTAACTTATCATTGTGAACATAATAATGTAGCTCATGTTAAGAATTTTTCATTTTTATTTGTACATGTTTGCAGTATGTACTGATTATATTCATCGTGGGGAATTGGTGCATGGACGTAACACATCTTAATTATTTTCATCTCCTGCTCCCTCCCATCCTTCTTTCTTCTATCTGTTGGTCTCTTTCCCATTTGCAAAAGATCTATCTATGCGTATTTATATTAATTTGTATTTGTAGAGAGGATTAGAAACTAAGCCAATAACAGTTATTACTTATGCATTATTTAAATATTTTTACTTGCACTTATTTTTTAAAATTAAAAATATATTTCTGAGCTGGGCATGTTGGTGCAGGCCTATAATTCCAACACTCTGGGCAGCTGAGGCAGGAGGATCACAAGTTTGAGCCCAGCCTAGGGCAACTGTATGGCTTAGAGAGACTTTGTCTTCTAAGTAAAAATAAAAAAGGGTCGAGGATAAACCTCAGTGAGAAGGCCTGGGTTTAATCCCTAGTACCAAAAACAATTGTAAATTGCTTTTGACACATTTCTGCTTTTTTATGTTTTAATAGGCTTTGCTTTAGTTTAATGAGGGTTCTCTCTTGCGTGCTCTGCGGCTTTTGACAGAATCATACAGGTTTTTACAGGGCAGTGACAAGGCTGGACACAGTTGTTTCCCTGCCTGATTTCGCCCTCTGTGTGCCATTTACTCACCCACCACAATCACTAGTCTTTTAAATATCTTCACGTTTTGCTTTTTCCAGAGTGTCACATAGTCCAAAACATATGGTACGCAGCCTGTTCAGATTGGCTTATTTTCTTAGTAATGTCCATTTAAGTTTCCTCTCTATCTTTTCTTACCTCATTTCTTTTTGGAACTGAATAATATTCATTCATATCAAAGTGCTGCAGTTAACGCCTTCATTCATCTGCAGAACATCCAGGCTCTGGTTTCTTACAAGTTTATGTCTCCACAACCCTTCAAAGTGCCCGCACTGTACAGATCCATGCAGAATCTTCACAATTCTCATTATACATTACTGTGTATATATGGCGACAAAGTTGTTGCTTATTTGTAAAAACAAAAAAATCATAAAGATGAACGGTTTTATTTTCAAACTTTTTTAGAGATACGCTTAATATTTGAGGATTTTGGGGGCTACAGGGCTGTAAAAGTGTTCGTGATCTTTATGTCTAACCTTCAGCTGAAGCTCTCTGGAAAGTCTGTTGGGCGTCATTTCTGGGAGAGTGGGTCAGGGCTCATCTGTGCGGTGTCTTGTGTCTGGGGCCCCGGGTGGATTCAGGAGATGATCCCGCTGTCTCCACGTCACAGACAGACCCTTTCTACACCTCGCGGCAGAGGCACCGCTAACATTCTGCTGTTGCTATTGGTAATAAATATTAAAAGAGCTCTGTACTGTTTGTTTATAATGAAGCACACATGCAGATATTACTCATTTATGCTAGAAGTTAGAGTAAATTTGTTATACAAAAGGCAACGAGAATACCTGTTGTTAATTTCTTTCATTAAAATATAGATATACGATGTTAGATGAATGAGGAAAAATGGTGCAGGAATTTCCAAAGACAGGTACCAGAGAGTAGGGTTATTTCAGTAAGTCAAGGAGCCCTCTCTGGAATAACATGTCACACACGTAGCCAGGAGCTGTTCCGTAGGTGTTGATCGAGAAAGTTAGATGGTTTTTGCCCGAGTACTGCATGGTTAGATCTCAGGTGCTTTCTGCTGCCATGTCCTAGGCAAAATGATCACTTGTTTTCTGTGTGTCTTTTGGAATGTCCTACCAGAATTTCTTCACATGATAACGGCGCTTAACTTGGCATATCCGGTCACTCCCTGGAGATTTAAACTGTCCTGCCTGCCAGCAAATAACACTGATGACTACTTCCTCTTGCCCGCTGGAATCTCAAACAATGCTTCAAATTTGAGTGGCGGTCCTGAGCCGGTTGTTGAAGCCAGATTTAATTCAAGTGGTGCCGACGTGGCCAATGTACCCCGAGTACCTTTCCACTGTTGCTTTTGGAGTGAGCAAGGTAAACACTGCCCTGTGCATGTGGGCAGCGTTGCAGGGGAGACCTCTGAGTCTACAGTGGATTCTTCTGTTTTTCAACAGCAGGGTAGGTATTTTAATGTGCCAAGCAGTAGCTGTGATGTTTTAACTATGTTTTAGTTTTCTGAAATATATGAATAGATGCCTTACCGATGTGATCACTAACATGTATTGTTATTTTAATATTAATAATAAAATTAGGTTTTATATGATAAAATTAATAAAAAGCCCCTAGTTATTTCATATCCCACAAAATCTACAAAGAGAACTCTTTTGCTTTCAAAAAAACTAAAACTTGAGATTCCATATGACCTCACTAGATGCCCTCCTGAAAAAGTTAAATGTATCAAACAGCACAATTCATAACAGCTAAATCTTGAAAACATCCTAAATGTCCATGTGCAGGTGAATGGATAAAATGTGTTATTTACACACAATAGAGTCTACTCTGCCATAAAACACGATAAACTTGTGTAATTTGTAAGGAAATGGATACAGCTTGCGACCATAATGTTAAGTGAAATAAACCAGATGCACAGGTTTAAATATTATGTGGTTTCTCTTATGTGAGAAACCCGAAATGGAAATAAAGAACAAAGTGAAAGGTACATAATAGCAAGTAGGGAGACAGCGCTTTCTCGGACAGGAGGAGGAGTAAGAGCTGGAGAAAAGGGCGGAGTGAGGGGCTGAAGAGAGGGATGAAGACGCCAGGGGCATCGCCGTGGGTACCGCACCGCGAACTGAGGAGAAGAGCAAACAATTACTTAAAAAGTAGGAGATAGAACTCACTCCTCTCTAGTCTTCTAAGTTTGCTTTCAATAAAAAACCCCCACTCTATTTGTTGTTTAAAGAAAAGTACCAAATTACTAATGGCGCTATTGCATTACTCACATTGAAAAATATTTATGAATAATGATTTTCGGAATCTCTCTAAAACAGTGCCTGTTTTAGATCAAGGATATTTTTGGGTGTTTAAAGGATAATGCATACTAATTCTGCACCTGAAAATATAAACAACAAAACTATCTCCACTTCTTCTGGAAAACCTAAATAGAGCAGAGTCGGTTGACCTACCGTCCGTGGAGACCCGCAGTGGAAAAGCACAGGCTGTGGAAGGGCAGTTTTTACCACGCAGGGAAAGCAGGGTTCCCCGCTGGTAGCTTTGCGGGTTTGGGCCGGTTACCCCTGGTTCCAAGGAGCTGCCCTGTGCAGGGTGCTTCGCAGCCGTCCTGGCCTCTGCCGCTGGGTGCAGCATTTCCCCCAGCTGTAGTAATAGCGAGGCCTTCAGATATTGCCAGATCTCCTCTGAGCTACCAGAATCGCCCCTGCCCCGGTGCTGTTGGTTAGATGGAAGAAACACTCTAGTATGTGGAGGTCAGTTCCAGACTAAAGGGGAAAAGTAGCTATGCAACAAAATCAAGAATTGAAAAACAAGTTCGAAGTTATAGCTCCCGCTGTCTCCAGCTCAGTTCATAGTCATTCTTTTAATTTTAATCCCCCCCTTTTGTCCTGGGGATTGTACCCAGGGCCTTTGCACTGAGCTATGTCCCCAGCCCTTTTTTACTTTGAGATGGTGTCTCACTGGCTGGGTTTGGAACTTGTCATCCTCCTGCCTCAGCCTTCCAGGGTGTTTTAAGTGAAAAACGTTTGTAACAAAATTTAACTTAGCTAATCAAGTGATTATTAAATACGCTAAGAATGCGCTGAATAAGTCAAGGTCCTTGTGGTGAGGCTTGGAATGGTAAGCCATATGAGCACCTTTTTTCGGTTATGAAGGGCAGTGACTGTAGTGCTGTCTATTTTAACCTTATAGCATGAGTCAGAGCTAATGACTAGTTATGAGTGGAGTTTAACTTTTTGTAACTAAAGTTGCTAGGTTATGTAGTGGTCGCGCGGGGGCTTCATGGATTCTTCTTTCCTGTGGACCATTTCCTTCGTGGGCTCCCAGGGTCAGAATTGCCGAGTAGCTGGGCCCCCTTCTGATCTGGGGAAATAGGTCATCATTGCCTTAAGCTGGTCTTGGTGCTATCACAGTTTGCAGTTGTTACTGTCCCTGCCTTCTAAACCACAGATGACCCATAGTTCAGCTTCCTTGTGCTCAGGCGCGGTGACATACACTTTCCTCAGTTGTATTTGGGGCTTATCCTATTTCCAGTAGCAAAAAATTAAGATGTGAATCACAGTCCCAGTGTGGATCCTGTGCCTTTATTTTCTGATCCTGCCACAGAAACACAGAAACAAGATTTGCTTGCACCTTGATATTTGACGTTCTTTTTTCTTTTGAAAAATCCGAGTGAACCGAGCTAGGCGAATTTTGAGCTCTTCTGTTCTACGTGAGTGGCAGGAGATGAAAGGCGAGTTTGAGAAGAGAGGGTTGAATGTGATGATGTCACTGAAGAACAGGCTCACGGAGGGTCGAAGGGACTAGCGGCGCACTGGTTGGAGTTGAGTTCTTCCCTCAGAGTGGGCGGTGGGCAGAGCCGGGCACCAGTACATTCCCTCTGGCTCTCCTCTGTCACGGCGCTGTTCAGAACACTTTTCAGATTTAATATAGTTTATTTTCCATTCAGGTGCAAACTGGAACATACAGTGCTGGATGAAAGGGGACTTGAAATTATTCATGTGTTCTGTGGAGCCCTTACTTAAGGGTCCTTTCGAGAATTATGACCTCCAGGCTCATCTTTTCTATGTCCTGTAAGTACTGAATAAATTAATTTGGCCACTTCTACTATGCATTTTTTTAATGCAAGAGCTTCCGTACAGTGAGGGGCTAGGGACCTTGCGTGTGCCACTCTTTCCTTTTGTACTGTGGACGTTTATCGAGTGGTTTGCATTTTTTATAGCACATCCTTCTCCATTAGGGAAAAATATTTGTGTGTATTTCTTCAGCTATATTTTTCATATTTGATTTTTAAATGAAATTAAAAATATGACTAATATTTATTTGTCCTAAGTGGAAAGCCAAGATGGTACTTTTAAGTAGCTCTAATGCAAACAGATAACACATTCAAGTCATCCTTTAACTCCGGTATTAACGTACACTCTTGATTTTAACTCTTTAAAATAGTTTCTCATTTATTCTTTCGTCTGATGCTTGAGGAGTAACTTACCTTTTTCATTCCTCTGGTCATTGAGATTGTATCATCGAGGAAAGTATTCTAAAAACTGTCCATAAAACCCCAATACCAAATACAGAGCGAAATAAAAGATCGGTGATAGGGAGTAGGAAGATAGATCTTTCTCAGAAGGGAAGAGGAGCAAAGGATGGAGGGAGGGGAGGAGGAGAAGAGGAAAAGAGGTTGAGGAAAGGAACCGAGGTGTGTTATTACTGATACTGACTCCTCACAGGGAATGTTAACATCGTGTGCTACAACATGGACTGATAAAAATTTTCAAAACAGTTGAATAGAGACAGAAAGTGAAATAGCGGTGGCCTAGCACTGGGAGGAGGGGAAGTGAGTTACTGTGTGTTAGCTGTAGAGTGTCAGTTTGAGAAGGTGAAAGACATTTTGGAGCTGGGTGGTGGCAATGTTTACACAACAGTATCAATATACCTGATTTCACGAGCTATGCTTACAATGCTTACAACAGTACATTTTCTGTTGTCTGTATTTACTAAGGTAGGGAATTTCAAATCTTACTGACAGGCTGGGGTACACTCAGTTTTAAAGTTCTGTGAACTTGTTTAAGAGCTTAAATTCTATTATGCATAAATTGTAGCTATGTCTTGAGGTCTTCATTCTCTGAAAAAGAAGGGATTCATAAATATATCACACACTTATATATAAGCAAACCATATCTCTGTCTGTCTCAGAGCATTGAATTTGAATAGTAATTTAGCAGTACTTGAGAATTTTAAATTCAGCTTGGTCACCAGAGCATTTATTGGTTAATTTCCCCAAATAGTAGGAACCAGAAATTGTGATAAATTAAGTATTTCTATTAATTTGCTTATTTGACGAATTTAACAGATTTTTTTGGCCTGTTTTTATTTTGAACTCAGGTGTCTGAGTATCATCATATTGCACTCAGTTTGGGAAACATTCTCATTTTTGTGTTCTACTTTTTGCCTCTGTATGATTTGCTCAATATGTCCAGTATACCAATCATCACGTGCTATTTCTGCCTAGAATTCTATTTCTGTGTCCTTTTTAAGCAGTGTGCCTCCAAAATTTAAGTAAGGTGTTTAATTTGGTAACAGTGAAGTTACGACCCTTCAAATTGGAAGGAGGAGCTGGTTAGTGTAACAAATGAGACCTTCCACAGAGGCGAAAATCCACGGTGGTGATTACTTCAGACCTATTTTTAATCAAAATCACCTTTTCCTTACATTGGAGAATTCACAAGAGAAATCTTTCAAAGGCGTCCGTGCTTGACCAAGCGTATTTCTTAAGAAGCCAGGAGCTGACATTCATAAGGGATTTAAAACCCTACAAAATGTCTGCTGAGGGGCAGCTCTGTTTGAGCTCAGATACCAATGTCTGTCAGAGGACCTGAGGAGAGACACCCACTTTAGATGTTTTACCTCAGAGCCCGAAGGAAACCCTTTCCTTTCTTTCTGAGGTGCCTACTGTGAGCTTGGCTCTCAGCCGAGCCTGGGGGCAGTGTTCAGCCGCCGTGGCTCTGCCTGCTCCCTGTCAGTGCGGTTTTGCGGGAGTTCAGTGCCTTTGCGCCCATTTTCTGCGCTCTTGGCTTCAGCCTGTGTGTTCGTAGTTACAGTAGCAGCGCTTCTGTCAATCCTCCTTCCTTTTCCTCCCCCCTTCTCTTCCCCTCCCTCCCTCCCTTCTTTTCTTCCTCCCTCTTTCCTGTCAAAGTGGACTCATGGGTCCTTACAGTCAGTTGACACTGTTATTTTATTACTCAGATTGACCCATACTTGACCGGGGGAGCCAAGTCAAGGTGACTCTTGTGCTCTTTTACTGAGTATCCATCTCTTTTGGGTAGGGCTTTCTTGCTTTCTGACATTGCAGGATGCTGTCCTGTTACACTTGGCCTAATATAACCTTGGAATCCTCCTAGGGAACACAGTTTCTTTTCTTTTGGATAGTGAGTGGTAGTTACAGAATACAAACCAGTATCTGGAGGCTGGTGCTCATCGTTATCGAGCTGACATTGCTCCTAGCCTCTCAGTGCACAGAGCCAGTTATAGGCACTGAGCACACACACGTGTGTACATACAACACACATCCATCCCTTGCATCTCTGTGTGTGTGGATCCTGACTGTGCGTCTGTCCTAAGCGTCTCATTCTAGTTCAGAACTCCAGGTCCGTTGCTGTCTGTTACAGCCCCCACCGTCCCCAGCTGCGAGAAACCTGGCTTCCCTGCCTCACAGCACACACATTTTCTCAGCCCCGGAGTACACAGAAGGGTGTTCTGGAAGGGTGAACACGTACCACTGGGGAAGACACACGTCCCGTAGAGCTCGGTATTGTGTGTGCTCACTTTGTCTTCACGAGGCCTGAGGGTTACAGGACAGAATAAATTAGGTCGGGTCTTCTCCTCCACCCGTGTGGCTAAGTTAAGCTGACAGATAGGAATGTTCTCTTGTTTCTGGTTATATTGCATTTTTTTTTTTCTTTTCCTCTTCTATCCTTGTCGATTTTCCCTCTGGTACTATCTTACGTGGAAGAGTACTTTGTGTTTTACAAGACGTTTCTTTAACTTGCGCTCTGATAAGTGCTGTCTGGGTCAGTGCTTCTCACCCGGCAGGACCCAGCAGGTTGGAGGTGCAGGGGGGTTGTTGGCTCCCATTAGCGATGTAAACTCCTTGGCCCCAAACCTCCCGAATCCCTCACAGAAGGCGTAGTGCTTAAATTTTGACAAATGCTCCCAGACCAGTCTGAGACACCAGCCTCCCATTTAAGTAATTTGGTATTAGCAAAGTAAAGATTTAGGGTAGCATTTTTATAGATCACCAGTCTGAGATTTAAAATAAGTGTCTTAAGTGGTTTCCACAGCTCATACTAAGAATTGCGTTCCTCTCCCCTGGTTTGTCTGCTGTGCTTTGCTGTCAGTTTATGGAACAATCAGAAACCTGGATGACACCCTTTGTGATGACCCCTGTAATAAGTGCGCTTTCCATAGAACATGTGTCGCCACCAGAGATGAGATCTCTTCTCGAAACATTTAGGTTTCCCAATTCCTGAGGAAAAAATTTTTCTCAAATGGTAAAATTTGCAAAGAGCCAGAACGTGAAATTCATTTGATAAGTGTTTTGGTGTCATTTTTACCTTCAGGTCATGCTTATTTACACGCAGAGGATTGAATAGCACCCCTAAATGTGTGTGTGTGTGTGTGTGTGTTAGCAAAGCATGAAATACAAAAGCTGCATACAAAATTTCCAAGAATTTCTCAAATCTCAGGATGTTGTTATTTTAAGCCGAGTTTGGTGATGCCTTATCTTTGTGCTTTATAATTACAAACCTTTTATATTATCAGGGGACATGGTTCCTGAATGTGCTTCATATAATTGGTGATAATGAAATCTGATAAAGTATCTAATGCGGTTTCTCTGTCCTTTGCCGATCGATCAAGTACCCGCTATCGGGAGTGCATGAGCTTGGTCTGGCAGTGAGGTGGGCACAGTTTCCCTTAAAGGCCCGGCTGGCAGACACTCGGGCTCTGGGGGCCACTGTCTCCGGCACAGCTGTTCAGCTCCGTCCTGGAGCCTACAGGAGCCGCGGTTTATACGCAGACGAATTCGCGTGAAGGCACTGATGTTGCAACTTCATATCATTTCTGTGTGGCAACAAAATATCTCTCCTCCTTTTCTAACCCTTGAAAAATGTAAGAGGCCATTCTTTAGCCCCAAGCAGAAGCCTGGATTTGGCCTATGGACTGCAGTTTGCTGATCTGTCGTTTAGGATGTTCAGAGATTAGCTTTACATTAATTTTTATAGTTTCATGATGGAAGTTTCTGTTTGAGTGGCTTAGGAAACTTCTGAAAGAAGCTATTTATATTTTATTGAAGAAATTATGAATAGTTATATATTTTTATAGTATACGTAATATATAGTTATTATTAAGGATAGGTGCTGTCATATTTTTTCTCATATTAAGGTTACTAACAAAATGAATTGAGATTGAATAAATACCGCAACCATGAAGTGATAGAGAAGCCACAGCTAATCTAATTGGTAATTAACTATTTTCTACAAATGTCTGTTGTGTTCAGAAAAGGGTACTTTTTCGAGACCACCTAGAGTGAGTCCAACTTTTCTTGTTTTAGAAGAGAAAAGCGAGAGTAGGATGTACTACGTTCAGGAGTTCTTCAGGCAAAGCACGAAACCATAAAACTGTGCTGTGACTCAGAATACCAATCTTTATTCAACTTGCTCACACCCTTTTTTTGGTAAAACTTTCACTTAAATATTTGAAAAACATAAAAGGTCTGGCTTGATGTTTTAACAAACGGCTCATCGTTGGCTTTGTTAAACATGTTGGCAAAATTGAAAGCACTAAATCATTCTGTCTCCATTTTAAAACAAAATTTTGTGGGTGTGTAGCAATTAAAATTTTCCAAAATGCTTTCATGTAAATCCGGCCTTTGACGGCCCCAACAACCTTGTAAAGAGAGATGGTACAGGCCTTTTCTCGGTTGTACTGATTTAGGAAACAGAGGCTCATGTGAAGAATGTCCTTGGTCGGTGATATTATGGCCAGAAAGCAGACGGAAGTGCTTGCCGTTAGGTTGTTGTTTATTTAGCACAGTCACATTACTCCCGTATGCAGGACCCAGTAGACGCCGTTGCACATTATGGCTCCATAACTCTTCCCAAATCGAGTTTTTAGTGCTAAAATAATAATACACCCAGTATCAGGAAGTTTGAAAATCTACTGTCATTAAAAATGTTTAGCACTAGTGGGCTGTGTGTAGAAGATTAGGGGTTGCTTTTTCTCATTTTATTTATATCTGAATTCATGCTCGTTTGTACAGTTTCTACAGCAGTGCTTTCTCCACACTGAATTTTTAGCATTTATACTTACGGGTTGCAACGTTTTTCCTCCAAAAGGACTGCGGTATCTCTGGAGGCAGTGACTCTGCCTAAGAATCAGTGCTTTCTCCCTTTGCCCGAGCTCTGTAGAGCTGGAACACTACGTAAGGCTGTGGGAGTTCACGGATGGAATGGAGTGGCTGCCGAGGCTGGGGGCGGGGGCTCCGTGTGCGCCCTGCTGCGCCCACTCTCAGGCACCCCCCCACTTACACTGAGGCTGTGACTCCCTAAGGAACTAGCATGATTAAAACAAACTCTAATAAATCAGAAGCAACAGCTTTCTGTGTCTCAGTTGCACTCTGTTATTTGTGTTTGACAGGTCTTGCTCTGTAGTCCAGGCTGGGCCTCGCACTTGTGATCCTCCTGCCTCAGCCTCCCAGGTGCTGAGATTACAGGGATGCACTCCACGCCCGACACATATGCGGTTATTCTTCGTGTCTGTCATGAGGTCCCCTACTCAGCTAATTACAATTATATTTTAAGGTTCATTCACTCACAAGGTTTACAATAATAGGCAAATGTTGCTTACAAAAAGCCCTGCATTTTCTCTTTCCACTTTTGTAAACAGCTTCATTGAAATAGAATTGATTTACAATAATCATTGATTAAAGTATCCACTTTGATAAGTTTTGATATGTGAAATTGTGCATAAAACTGTCACTGTAATGAAGAACATGAATATCTCATCAGTCTCAAAGCTTCCCCTTGCTCTTACAGTTCTACCCTCCTGCTCCTACCTGCCCCATCCCTGGGGAATGACTGATCTGATTTCTGTCACACATTACTTTGCATGCTTTAGAAATTTATATAAGTTCGTTCATGCAGTATTTTGTCACATTTTTGCACTGCACGATTGTTTTGAGATTCATGAGTGATACAGAAGACTATAGCCAACCCTTTTCCTTGCCAAGTAGCATTCCGTTAGGTAGGCTCCCTCCCAGGGCTTCAGTACTGTATTCCGCTGTCAGTAGACAGTTGGGGTGTTTATAGCTTGGGGATCACAGAGGATGCCGCTCTGTCTCTGATCGGACGTCTACTTTTGGTTCCCTTGGACGGATGTCTGAGCGTGGAATGGGAACTTCCGTAGGGTGGGTGTACAGGAACTTAGGAGCTGACCGAGTGTTTTTAAAAGTCGTGTCATTTTACATTCCCACCAGCAGTTTATTAGACTTCCAGTCCCTTCACACCCTTGTCAATACATGGTACCATTAGTGTAGTGTTATCCCATCAAGCTTTTAACATGCTGTGTGTGTGTGTGGTACTGGGGATCAAGCCCATGGGGAATCTATCACTTTTGAAAAATTTTCTTTTAAAGTTTTGAGACAAGCTCGCACTAAGTTCCCCTGGAGAGACTTGAACTTGTGATTCCCCCTGCCTAGGCCTCTTTCAGAGCTAAGATTATAAGCGTGTGCTACCACGCCTGCTTAACTCGTGTTTCTTGAATGACTGACAATGTTTACTGTCTTTTGGTGGGTGGGGGATTTGTTATCTATATTTTCTTTGGCAAAGGAAAGGGTTTAATAGTAATTATCTGTTGAAATCTTGGCATGTTTTTTTAACTGGGCTGATCTGGTTGGAATTTGAGTGTTGCATATACCTCACACATAAAATCTTGGATTAGATATATAACTGACAGATAATGTTCTATTAGTCCGTAGCTTTTGTCTTTTCATTATCTTTCACAGAACAGAAGTTTTCGATTTTGGTATAAAGTCCACTTTATCAAATAGTTCTTTTCTGGATTGTGTTTTTGGTGTTATGTATATGAAATTTATTAACTAACTCAAAGTCACAAAACTTTGCCCCATATTTTCTTCTAGAAGTTTCATCACTTGGGTTTTCATTCTTTTGGAATTAATTTTTTATCTGATTGAGGTAGAGATTAAATGACCTCATCTTCCCATTCTTTTTGCTTACTGGTATTCCTTTGTCCTAGAACAATTTATTGCAACAACTACCCTTTCTTCCCAGAATCGCTTTTATGCCTTTGTAAAAAAAAGTTCATTGTTCCTGTGCTCACCTATATTATGTTCTGTTTCCTTAATATATTATTTTTACATGAATATTCATTGATTATTGTAGTTTTATAACAAGTCTTAAGGCATTGTTGTTCTTCAAGTACGCTCTTCATTTTCAAGGTTTTTTGGCTATTTCTGGATCTCTTCTGTTTCCATGTGGATTTTAGTTTGGTTTTACCAATTTATATAGCATAGTTTGCTGGGATTTGATTTACAGTTCACTGAATCCATGGATAAATATAAGGAGAGTTCACATGTTAACAATTTTGAGTCTTCTGACCCCTGAGTAAAGTATAGCTCTCACTTTAATTAGGTCTTAAGATTTCTTCGGCGCATTTTATAGTTCTCAAGGTATTATAAATCCTAAACATCTGTTATCAGTGATCTCCCTAAATATTTCTATTTTGATGTTATTGTAAATGTCATTTTAAAATAGTTTCAATTTCATCAATTGCCAAATATAAAACTAGTGGCATAGATTTATTCATACTATTCTTTTATTGCCTCTTTAATATCTACAGGATACGTAATGTCATTTCTCTCACTTTCTATATAATCAGTTTGTGTCTTCCACAGTTTTTTCCGGCCAGACTGATTAAAGTTTCTTCAATTCTATTGATCTTCTTAACTAACTTTTTGGTTTCTTGTGTATTATATTTCTGTTTTTCTTTTACTGTGCTCTGATCTGATGTTTTCTGCTTCTTTTGTTTACTTAGGGTTAATTTGTCCCACACCCCATTTGTTAGACCTGAGCCTGAGATCACTGTTTTGAGGCTTTTCTTCTTTCTTCTTATATGCATTTAGTTCCCATTTTTAGTACTATACATACATTTCCCTGAAATTATTGCTTTATGTCAGTTCATCTCACAGTTCTCACAGCAGTATCTCAGTTTCTTATATCTTTTGTTTTGTTTTCATTTAAAACTTCTAATACCATTTTTAAAAAATGTGTTCATTGACCCATGAGTTATTTAGAAGTATATTAAATTGCAAATATTTCAGGCCTTTGTAAATACCTGTCTTTATTTCCTTTATTAACTACATTTTTGTATGACTTGAATCTGCAAATTTATTGAAGCTCTTTTTATGGCTTAGAATGTCGTCTGCTTGGTAAATGTTGTGTGTTTGTACGCAGAGGTTCACCTGGGGCTGTTGCTTGCGTGTTCATGAAATGTGCTAAGTCAAGCTGGTCGACAGTGCTCAGTTTTTTATCTCAAAATGATTTTTCTGTAGTGCTCATTATTGAGAAAAAGTTGAAATTTCCATCAATATGCTGGATTAGTCTGTTTTCTCTTGGGACCCTTGTGATCTTTTGCTTCTTGTATTTTGAAACTATCATTCGGAACATACGTTTTGGGTCATTCTGTCTTTCTAGTGAATTAACCCCTTTTTAAATTATGACATGACTTCCTTTATTCTGATACTCATTGCTTTGAAATCAACTTTACCTGACATTAAAATGTCCTTTGCAACTTTGTTTTGCATTTTATTTTGTTTTTATTTTACTTTATTTTTTTTTTGTACAGAGGATTGAACTTAGGCCCTTGTGCTTGCAAGGCAGGTGGCAGAACCACTGAGCCAAATCCCCAGCCTTCTTTCCGACTTTATTTTGAGCCATCTTGCGGTGGTCTGTCATTTCCCTTCCATTTCCTTTGCTTATTTGTGTTTCAGATTTAAATTGATTTCTCATGAGCAGTTGATACTTGGGTCTTTCTTTTTCATCTAGTTTGACAACCACTGTCTTTTCCATGGGATATTTAGAGCATTTCACTGAATGTGACTATGGATACGTTTAGGTTTAATATTTTTGTTTTGTTTTCTTGTTTCATTTCAGTTATTCTTTGTTCCTGTTTTCCCATTTTATGCCTTCTTTTGGATTAGGTACTTTTTTTATGATTCCACTTAGTTTTTGTTGTTAATTAACTGTATCTTCTTGATTTGTTATTTTAGTGGTTGCTTTAGGACTTATAGTGTATGTCTTAATGTAGTCTTATGATATTATACCCTTGCATGATATCATGCCGCTTCACTTGTAAGGTGATCACGACTGTACACACGCCTCTGTCCTGTCCCGAGCTTGGTACTAGTGTTGTACACTTTATTTCTTCCCATTTTATAAACTCTTAGCATAAATAGCTGGCATTTTTGCTTTAAATAATAAAAAAATAATTATCCTTTTAGTTAAGTTGCATTTCTTTGTGTGAAACCCTGTTTCTGTCTGCTGTCATGTTTTCCCCGTCAGACGGCTTCCTGTGGCATTTTGTTACATAATGCAGACTTGGGCGTGATGAATTCTTCAGCTTCTGTGGCGCCTGAGGAAAAGACTTTCTTCGAAACCATACTGAAAAATATTCTCAGTGGATATAGGATTTAGTTTAGAGCTGCTGTTTTCCTTTCTTTTAGGGCTTCACCCTTGCCTCAGTGTCTTCCTCGTGTTATTTCTGACATTTCATCCCCCGTGATCCTTTGTTTTTCTGATAGAAAAGCGCTTTATTTCAGAAGCCCTCGAAGCTGGGTGTTGTAACAGCTTTCCCATCCACCTTACTTTACATCCATGTAAATATTCAGCTCTCGTTTTTCATATAGGTCTGAAGCGGCAGAAGATTCACGCCTGGCCCCTCAGAAAGGCCGCTTCGAGAGCGTCCAGTGCAACTGCGGTTTTGAGGAACACTGGGGGTGTCACATGCCGGTGCCAGCCGCCAAGCTCAATGACACCCTTCTGATGTATCTGAAAATCACAGCTGCTGGGGTGACTTTTCAGTCACCTCTAATGTCAGTTCAGCCCTTAAATGTTGGTAAGTTGTGCATGAAAAGGATCAGAAAGCTAAACGTCACCACACAGCCAGGTTGCAGTTAGTACCTTGATCAAGACTTTCCCCTGGCGTCTGTCACCCTCCCGGCCCTGTGAATGAGATGAACGCAGGGCAGGGGCGCCATAGCGGCTAGAGGGAGGTAACTGGTAGAGATGTTCCCGCAGCCGTCGCTGCGACTCCTGCTGTAACGCAGTTTGCTTTTCTAGCGAGCTGTAGCTGAGATGGGAAAGCCAGCGAGGACAGGGTGCACTGGGACGCGGTGTCTGAGACGCCTCTTCCAAACCCACAGACGTCGAGCGGGGCCGGGAGATAGAGACGTGGAAGTCATTTACAGATGGGGTCGAAGAGGACGACCCGTTCAGAGCTCGGGAAGGGCAGGGCAGAGGGACTGGTGACCGGCAGTGCTGGCTAAGGGTCAGTAGGAGTGGGGAGCACCTGCCCAGAGCAGGTGGGTCAGGCGTGGGGCGCTCACGCCAGTGACACAGCGAGAACCGCCGCCCCTGGCTGGGGATGTGACTCTGAAGGGAGCCGACGAGGGATGAAGCATGGGACTGGGGACCTAGGGCCGAGGGTAAGCGTATGCTTCCATTTCCAGTATCTGCGTTATGAGTACGCAGGGAGACAATGTACAATAGCCCAGTTTTATGGTTTCCCTTCCTTTTGTGTCTTTGCTTCATTTTGTTTTTGGTCATGGGGACATTTTAAAGTTTACCTTGTTGTCTTTAGATTTTAGTATTTAGCTATCTCTGTTTAAAGTAATTTACATTTGTGGTCATCATATAAGGCCTAAACAATTTTGGCTAAAAGAGGAAAGCTGTGTCTAAATTCTTGAAGCTCTGGACAGTGAGACAGATGCGATTTTACTTACTGAAATGAAATTCAAATCAGTGAACATCTCAAGGTCTCGGTGATTTCTGTGTACGAGAGCAAAGCCTGCTGCAGGAAGTTTGCAGGATGCACGTGTGCAAAGAAGAAGCTGCATGCTCGCTTTTCTTCCACTTTGTAGGCTTCTGATTTTTAAGACATATTTGTACATATCCCTTTTTATTAACTTTAACAAATCAGGAATCTAAGTGTGAATATTTGATAAACTTTTTAAACAACATCAATCAGATTTTTGTAGCAGGAAATCACAATTATCAAAGTCATCTAATTTACTGATTTATAGTCTTTACCATTTAGGAGGAAGGAATTGAAAATATGTGGATATCTGTCATAAAGCACACTCAATATTAGATCTTTGCTTTGGTTCTGTAATTAGGCCATGAATAAACTTATCTTTTAAGTAGTTGAAAGGCAGGAGAACTGAAATTTCATGTTGACTTCACTTTATTCAGATATGGTTGCATTGGAAACTGTTTGACTTAGAAGTACTATCTTTTCTTTTCTTAAGTGAAGCCTGATCCACCATTGGATTTGCATATGGAAATCACAGAGGATGGTAATTTAAATATTTCTTGGTACAGCCCAACACTGGTACCATTCCCGCTTCAGTATCAAGTGAAATATTCAGAGAATTCTACCACACTTACGAGAGAAGTAAGTATATTTTAGTAAATGAAATGGAAAGTTGAGAAGCAACTAAAGACTCTTGTGCCCCACAGAAATTGTGTTCCACATGCTAAATGTGCATATTCCTTCCAAGGCAGAATGAATATCACTGAGTATCATACATTAGAGATATTTTATACACATATAGCTATAGGAAGTACGGTTAAAAAACTTGGAGCTCATAATTGTTTGTACTTCCAGACTACTGCTTTTGTATCAAGTCCTTTTTTTTGGTGGTACGGGGGAACTCAGGACCTTGCAATGCCAGGCAGGCACGGCGCCACTGAAATACATCCCTGGCTATCAAGTCTTCTTGTAATCATTCAGTATTTCTCGAGCACCTCTTTGGTGCCCGGCTCTGCCTTAGGAGCATCAGGTTGCTTTGAGATCTGCCACGGGGGCGGGGGTGTGAGGACCGGGGCCCTGAGGGGACAGAGCCTTGTGACCGTGAGTGGGGTTGGGGCGGGCCACTCATTTGGCGAGGATGAGCTCATGGAGGCGTCTGGGGGAGCTGGGTTCCTGGCAGAGAGATTGGCAGTGCAGAGGCCTGAGGGGCAGAGGGGTGGAGAGAAGGCTGCAGGGGACGAGGAGCCCTCAGACAGCTGCTGTGGGGACAGCAACGGCTTTTGGCGCCTGCAAATACTTTGCCCCATTGCATGGTGGGACTAAGTGTTCTATAATTCAGACATGTTTTGGGGCCAACTTTTTAAGGCTTTATTTTCACAAAGAGCAGGTTGGTCGTCCTGGGTTGTGTGTGGAGAAAGCTTTCTCGTTTGTACGCTGGAGACAGTAGGCTCATCTGTAGGGGCCACCTGATACCATTCATGCATCCTGGAAGCTGCCATTGTTTTAGTCTGTGATTCCCCCTGCCCCAATCTTAGACCAGAGAGTGTAATAACTTGGAGAATTTTACTGGAAAACCTAGTATTCTCACTGAGCAAATCTACTCGGCTAGACGTTGTTCCACACAAGGTTTTGACCCGAATGTTCCCTGTGCTTTGTGAACTGGGTTTTGATTCATAGTTGATCAGGTGCAGGTTCTTAAAACTCCTGGTGCCTTCCTTCCTTCTGTGGCCCTGGCGTCCAGGAACTCTTCTGGTTCTCTCTCCAGCACAGTGTTTCCTGCCAAGGGTGTTACAGACAGATGGCTTTGGGGGCCAGGAGAATCCCACTGTCTTTGGCTGCATTACTCGAAATTCTAAAAGTCCTGCCTTAGTTATCCTCACTTACAATGTGTGCTAATTGCCATTATGACTCTTTGGACCCATGACTAGTGTGCCGACATTTGCTGCTTGGTCACTGATTTCTGTTTTAATTCTGTGGTGGTCAGACAACTCCTCTGTGAGACTTTAATTCTTCAAATTCCGAGACTTGTGTCTGATCAACTTTGGGAAAGGTTCCGCACCGCCTTGACATGCTGATGTTTTAAACCTATGTTTGACAGGCGGAGGAGATGGTCTCAGGGACGGCTCTCCTGGTAGACAGCGTGCTTCCTGGTTCCTCCTATGAGGCTCAGGTGAGGGTCAGGAGGCTGGACGGCCCGGGCATCTGGAGTGACTGGAGCGCCCCTCATGTCTTTACCACGCAAGGTAGGTCTTGGGACCATTTCTGCCGAGAAGACGTGTGCTTCCTGAGTCTGCCTTTGGTACATTGTAAGCATCTTAAGTTTTGTGGTTCTAAAAGCAAAGAGGAGACACAATTTACCTATTACCTTCTTATCTAAATTTTGTTGTTTTTTGGGGGGGTTATCACCATAATTTCTTTTTTCTTCTTTTATTGAGTTTATTGGTATACTTTAGGGATACAGTACAGTTACATTCATCATTGAGATCTTGTACCTTTACATGACAGGTCTTGGTTCTCATTATTTCCCCTTGTCCCTGCCCTCCCTTCACCCCCTCCTCCCCTCCCCACTTACAAACACTTTATTTCCATTTTTTCATTTTCTCATATTTTTTTCCCTTACTACCTTTCCCCTACCCTTCTCACTTTCCCTATACCTTTAGCCCTTTTCTTCCCATTTCACAGTGTCAGTTATCTCATTAGGATTTAAGCCAAGGTTCTCATTTTCCCCTTGTCCCTGCCCTCCCTTCACCCCCTCCTCCCCTCCCCACTTACAAACACTTTATTTCCATTTTTTCATTTTCTCATATTTTTTTCCCTTACTACCTTTCCCCTACCCTTCTCACTTTCCCTATACCTTTAGCCCTTTTCTTCCCATTTCACAGTGTCAGTTATCTCATTAGGATTTAAGCCATCTACAGTAAAAAGCCTTCATTCATTAACTATATTAAATGTTAAAATAAAAAGTTTAACATTTAAAATGTATATCAAGTCAAGACACTTGGTTTTCCCCTGTCACATTATCAATTTAATTTTTAGCTTTCGTTTTAGTGATCTTTTGAATTATTTTTGTTAAAAAGTTAAAAATAAAAGTCCTAAATTCAGAACACCATTATATTGGTAACGTGACTGGGGAAAACTGTCTTGACTTGATATACATTTTAAATGTTAAACTTTTTATTTTAACATTTAATATACTTAATGAATGAAGGCTTTTTACTGTAGATGGCTTGCATTTGACATTTTCAACAAAAACTTTTCATAGTTTTGAAGACTGATTGACTGATTGTGGTGCTGGGGTTGAACCCAGGGCTCATAAATGCCAGATGAGAGCTGTCCCCCTGAACTACACACCCAGTCCTTGAAGTTATTTTTAATCAGAAAACCTGCAGTTTCCTTACAACTTCCTCATGAGTATGGAAGCCCTGGAATGTTCTACCTGCCAGAGGCCACGCTGTGATTACAGAGGGAAGTCAGTGGTTCCACGACATTTTTTCATGTTCAGATGTGATCAGGATGTATGGAAATGACAAGTGCTGTGTGAAATACCGAGTGAATATTCAAGCCACTTAGTGCAACAAGTTTATTTACGGCTATTTACTACTTAAGAAGTGCTAACCAGCCGGTAACAATTAGCATTTGGCTCTTGGTATGCACCAGTAAGTATTAAATGTTATACCTCACGAATCTACAACCCATCTATTGAGCATCTCCCAGTTGAAGAGGTTCCGAGGCTGAGCTGATGTGTGAGAATTGCTTAGCACAAAGGAAGATCACGAGAAGAGCTAAACAGTCTTAAACGGTGGGAAGGCTGATTCTGAAACATGGGACTTCTACCAGAACTGAAGAAATCCAAGACAATTGCAGTTAGGTTCTGCTATATCACGAGAATAATGTTAGGAGCGCTAAGTTCTTATATCTTTATTAAATGCATTTTAATTGTTACTAGAGAAGAGAAGGAGCTGACATAAGGCAGTTTCCACATGGCATCTCTTGTTATAGGTTAGGGAAAATATTTCCCCCATGAAGAAATACAGCTACATCTACTGCAAGAATAAAATAGAGGTGGGTGTGTGGGCCCACGGGAGAGCGCTTGGCCAGCTTGTGCAAGTCCTGATTTTCTTGTTTCTGTCACAATCTGGATGCTTTTGAGTAGTTAATGCTGTTAGTATTTGTAAGCAGAATTTCTTCTTTTAATAAAGTTCATTCATGAAGATCTTGCAAAGGTATCACTACTTGGTCATGAGAAAAAATTAGTATTGTTCTCATTTTACTCATTGAATATTGCATAATATCTTGACGAGGATGATCTTTATTTAAGTTAGTCATTCAGCGTTTATCTCCTGAGTTATAATGAATTTGTTCCATGTACATTTTAAAGTTGTCAGATGTTTGTTAGCTTATTTTCTTTTTTTAAGTTTATATTTAAGCATTTTAACTTTTTAAAGCATTTTAAACTTTAGCCTTATATCTGGGTTCAGTTTAATACATGCACTTCATTTTGTTTTTTGGGTTTTGGTTTTTTTTTTTTTTGGGTCCTGGGTATTGAACTTGGGACCTTGCGCTTGCGAGGCAGGCAGAGGAACCAAGCACTGAGCTAAGTCCCCAGCCCTGATACACTTCATTTGAAGTAAAATGTTTTGAATCTTTAAGTCATCTTTAAAAGCTTCAGTTTAATTTATGAAAGCTCATTTGTACTTTTCTTTAAAAATTCTCTTAAAAGGGGCTGAGGATTTAGCTCAGTGGCGCCACGCCTGCCTCGTAAGTGCAAGGTCCTGAGTTCAATCCCTGGTACCAAAAAGAAAGAAAGACAGACAGACAGACAATTACTGTGGGATTTCTGAGGCAGTCTAGTGATAAGGTTTGGGGTATATTGAAGGTAGATTAAGAATTGCTACTATTTACTTATAGGAAAACAAAACCCAAATTTCTTGTGTGGATTGAAATATACAGTCATTGACACGTAGCAAGCTGTTACAGAGTAGAGAAAACTTAAAACCAATGAAAACATTCTGTTTTGTTTTTAGGGGCAATTCAGGAGGTCTGTGTGAAGACATTTACTCATTCTAGCAAGGGATAGTGGCTTGCTTTAAATTGTGCAACTGAGATATACTGATACGTTATACTGTGCTATGGTCGAAATAGCCTCTTCCTGTGTAATTATTATCTACTCGTCTCCTGTTCCTCATTAATAATATAGGGCAAACTCCAGTAATAGATGACTGAAAAAATACTACGGAACAAACAGTAAAATAGGAAGAAAAAGTGTGGAACAGCGTAATAAGCATTAAAAATCAGGTTTTAGTAAATGACCGATTCCCCTGTCCTGCGTCACAGTTATCATCAGGTAACTCAGAATGGCGTCACACACGAGTGCTCAGCGTCTTCCCTGCTTCATGTGCTGGTACATTATTCATACGACATTTCCTAAGTACTTCTTTTTATCCCATTTCTCTGCTTTGCCTGTTTAGTAGAAATCTTCATATATCCAAGCAGGACAGTCGCAGCAGCTCCCCAGCCCCTTTCTGGTCAGAATTTTGTCTTGGAGTGCTTCGTTCTGAGAACTCACGCTGTGTTTCCAGTCTAGAGCAGGGTCTGGCGTCACTGTGGGACTCAGCCCCATTTCACTTTTGCCGGTTTTCTCCTCAGCGAGCAAGTGACGGGTACTGATGAAAATGTATCTTGTGCCGAAGAAGCCACTGTGCTTAGAGGGCAGCCAAAACGGGATCCTGGGTCATCCCCACCCACTCGAGAGGTGGAGGGCTCGACGTGCTCACTGTTCGCCAGTGGTGACAGAGTTACCCGGTTTCTCCGTGCACTCGTTCTGTTTTGGCGGAGTGGCCCTGGCTGCTGGGCTGTGGCGGCTCTGCTGTCCACGGGATAGGTTGCTTGCATGTTGTTTCCTGTCTTCGCCTGATCGCCCGCCTCTCTCTCTTCTCATTACAGATGTCATATACTTTCCACCTAAAATTCTCACGAGCGCTGGGTCTAATGTTTCCTTTCACTGTATCTATAAAAGTGAAAACACGATTGTTTCCTCAGAAGAGATTGTTTGGTGGGTGAATTTAGCGGAGGAAATTCCTCCAAGCCAGTACGATGTTGTGAGCGACCACATTAGCAAAGTGACTTTTCTCAACCTGAAAGCGACCCAACCTCGGGACGAGTTCACCTATGACGCTGTGTACTGTTGCCAAGAACACCAGTGCCACCATCGCTACGCAGAGTTGTATGTGATTGGTAAGGATTCCGAGGTTTTCTTCACGTTGCCACACACGTTAAACTTTCACAATGGACCCTCTGTTTGGAGTCCTATTAAAGACGTAAGGAAAAATTTTTCATTAAAAATTATTGGTGGTTTTACTTTATATTAATATTTTAATGTGTTTTAAATAGATGTCAATATCAATATATCATGTGAAACTGATGGGTACTTAACTAAAATGACTTGCAGATGGCCAGCCAACCCAATGCAATCCCTTGTGGGAAGCTCCTGGCAGTTGAGATATCACAGGTACGTGTGATTCGAGCTGCGCAGTCTTCCTGTGTGCATGGTGAGGAAAACATTTGTTTTAGAAACATTGCTCTAGAAGTAGCCTTGTAGATTTTGTTTCTGAAAGCAGAAGGTAAAATGTTACGGGGGAAATTCGTGAGGGATTAAAGAAATGGGTGATTCTTGAAAAACATTCATATCTGAGGTTTAAAAAAATTGTAATTAGTCTTTATTTCAGATTATCTTTTCTGAAAACAAATCTGTTTCCTATAATTGCATTTTAACTCTTGGATGACATATAGAAGAAGTTGGTTTACAGACATTTTGCTTTGACTTACACAATTGACTAGCATAGAATGTAGGAGGATTTAAAAAGTATTAAATGGTTTGGGTGAAGACAGATATTTTAGAGAAAAGAGAGAGATGAAAAGATTCACAGTTTTTTTTAAAACAAAATGAGATTAAGAAATAATACAGAGCCATTTGTGGAATTAAGGAGAAATCTGTGCTTGTTTAATTTTATCTTTGTTTTATAAATACTTAAGACATCTCATAGCATTTGCTCTTGTCTCTAGAAAGTGTATTATCTAAAAGGATATCATCCTTGATGAGAAGATAGTTATATTTTTACTTTAAAACTATTCCTCAGTAGTTTTTAAGAATGCGTGTGGCTCTTAAAGTGCTACTCCATGTCTTGTTTTTATTTGTGCTGGATATCTTCATTTGTCTAGCACACTCATGTGTTCATAAAATCTAAAATTTCAGCTTGAAAAATAAATTGCCATCCTCAAATACTGAGATCTGAATTCTGTTTCTAGTGCTATGAGTGTACTCTTATTTAGCACAGTATTAGGAAAATGTGCCTTTATCCTCCCTCAGATGAACATTTAAGAATCAATGGATTTAAAGCAAACACTACCTTAATAATCCATCTTTCTGTGCTTCCTGTGTGTTTTCACACTAAGGAAGAGTTTGTAGACTCTCATGTTAGTCCTGTGTGTGACTGATTACCTGACTCACGTATCCTGGGTAACCATGAAACTAGCTGCAGATGACCTGAGTTCCTCAGCTTCAGTTTCTTTGGCTGTAAAATGAGAGAATAACCAAGGGGGCTTACAACATTTGTATGTGAGTGACTGACATATTCACGTAATGATTACTAAGTGATACAACTTCTGGACAGCATTCAGCAGATGATCGTGGGCACCATGATGCTAACCATTTGGCTCCTCGGGAACACCTTTTATGCTGCTCCATCAGTCTTGTTTTCTGTCCAGTGATAACACTTCCTATCCCTCCTTTTCATTTTTCTTTTTCCCATTTCTCATTCCAACACACACACGCAGGCACGTACACACATGGTAATCTTGAGGAAATAAAAAAAGTACAAAAACAAGAAGAGAGAGTATGGATTTCTTCCTTCCCATTTCCTGCCTCCCATTGGTGTAGAAAGAGTAACTGCTCCTTTCACCAGTTAAATACTATATCCAGAGAAAATAGTGGTAGAAGAGTTGTTTCAAAGAGAAATACTTTGTGCATTCCAAGCTGGAACGTTTGTTGGGATTCAAAATATTTTTGCTTAATTTCGTTTTCTGAGAAAATGAGTATGGTGCTCTAGTGCATGATTTGTGTGTGTATGGATCGAGACTTGATGTTATTTTAGTTACATTAAAATATTAGGATACTGTCAATAAAGCTATCATTTACTGTCAGTTACATTCTCGATTTGTAGTGAAATTTAATCCCCTGTATTAAAGTGTGAGGAATTTGTTTTCTTTTAATCCCTGAAATGCCCCATTACTACTTTTGATTCATATTTCAAAAATTGTATCTCCAGTATGTAATATTAGTGTAAGTTTAAGAGTAGTGTAGGTGTGTCTCTAGTGGCATTAGCTCCTTCTTAGAGCATCTGTTTCATTTGCAGCCCTGTTTAGTGTCTAATAAAATATTTCATGGGAGGTACTAAAATATTTCATGTGTGTTTCTGTGTAAAGACACAAGATTGGGAATTCAAGAATGCTTCTCTCCTAATAACATCTGTTATTAGATGGAGCAAAGCTCTTCTAAGTAAGAATCAGAGTTCTGAAATACTCTGATGCTTTGTTGATGCTATATAGTGATTGCCTATCTTTGTGTCTTTTCAGGAGCAGCCTGTATTGCTCTGATACTCCATCTATCCCTCCTGTATCAGAGCCGAAAGATTGCCATTTGCAGCGGGATGGCTTTTATGAATGCATTTTCAGGCCCATATTCCTGTTATCTGGCTACACAATGTGGATTCGGATCAGTCACTCTCTAGGCTCCCTGGACTCCCTGCCAACATGTGTGCTCCCCGACTCTGTAGGTGAGTCACGCTGGGCCGTGACTGCATTTGCTAAGCTTGCAGACCTGGGAACTGAACCAGGGCCCTGAGCACGCTAGGCGAGCTCGCTTCCCCTGAGCCATGGCCCCACATCTGTCTGCATTTTTATTAGCATACTTGGATCTAGATAGATTCAGGGTTAATATTGTACTTCGCCTTTTTTCTGGTCACACTAGATTTTGGAAAAATGTTTCCATTTACAATGGAATTGAGAAGATCAGCCACAGCAAGTTTTATAGCTTTGAGTTTAATTTATATTAATTATAGCATACTTATTCAAGTTAGAATGTTTTCAACATGCTCCTTGATGAATTACTTGGGAGACTATAAATGAAATGTTTTAATATTTTCTTGTAAATAATATACTATTTCACGTGTATTTGTTGCAGTGTATTTATGAAAACATATTTAAAATATTTAAAGCATTCACAATTCAAAGCATTCAAAATATTTAAAAGCATTCAAATATTTAAAGCTTTCAAAATATTTAAAGTGGAATGAACAGGCAAAGGTAATAAAATCCATCAAGAATAGTTAAAGCATTCTTTTCAAAAGGTGTTTTGATGTCCAAGGATTCAGAGAGCTCTTGGGAAATTTGACATATTCCTCTAATATCATTGTGAAATCTTTGAGAAATGATCCATTTATAATGATACAATGGAAAGTAAAGAGCATCTTTGGTGCTGTATTCTGTTGTTAGAAACGATGCTGGAAATTAATATTTTATTCATTATTTCTTCAATTAGTACACATTTGAAGTAAAACCTACATTTTGTTAAGTGTAGGTTGCACTTGCTTTAATTACTAGGTTTCTTTTTTTTTTTTTTTTTTTTAAAATAACATCTTGCTATGTTCTCCAAGCTGATCTTGAATGCCTGGACTCAAGTGATCCTCCTGCCTCAGCCTCCCAAGTAGCTAGGACTATAGGCATGCATCATAAATAAGGCTGCCCTTATTTATGCCTTCATTGGTTATGTTTTCATGTCTGTGAATCAGCAATACATCTTTATTCATTTCGCAGGCCATGTGTCCGTTATCTATTGCTGAAGAGCAGGTCACACCTCCTCCTCTGTGTAATTCCATTCTAAGGGGTTGTGTTGCAAGTGGTACTTTTCTGGCACTATCCAGGATAGCCGGAAAGACCCCTACCCTACCAGTGCACACCTGTAACACGGAGGCTGTATGTGACAAGTGAGGTGTGGGTTCAGTAGTACATTCTATGTGAACAACCTTTGGTGCTTTTCAAAACTGAAATGGAGAGTTTAAATTGGGCTAGTGTTGCTTCTGCAGTAGAAAACAGTGTGGAATTCAACTCACAAATCCAGTCCCAGCTCCACCTCTTACTGGCTTTGTGAATTTAGACTAGTGAGTCACACGAATCCTCTACCACCCTTGAAACTCGGACAGCCTGCCAACAATGACACTTCAAAGAGCTCTTCCTGTGAACTGAGGGTTTAATATCTGTATAATTCAGACAAGTATAATAACATATTTAACTTTTTATGACCTCTTGACATTTTCTTGAAAAGAAACTCTATTCTAAATAAAAATTATTTGTCCTCTTACTGGGTTAGTGATAATGCCTTCTTTGAAAATAAAGAATTGAATAATCAGGTGGATCTATACATTTATGAAAAATTGTAGGCGTTTTTAAATGAGCGTTTGAAAGTATTAGTGTTCATTTTTTCAAAAAGTGATTTAAGCAACACTGTGCCAACAGGGTCAGTACTACACTTCCACACAGTTTTGTGTAGAAAGTGAGATTTGGGGGAGGGAATGACAGCAAACACCCGTGCTGTGCCACTCCAGCTCGCTGTCCTCCCTGTGCCTCGTAATGTGAGGAAATAGCAGATCAAGAAGGCCGACCAAGAACTTGCGCTGCTAGTTTTGTCCGCCTTCCTATGCATTTTTGGTGGGCTGGTTGCTTTCTTCCCTTTTGCCCACTGGCTTTCCTCTCTGTCACTGCGGCCAGGGGACACCTTGACCTTGGTGTGGTCCACTGCCAGAGGTGACCTGCAGAATAACCCAAGGAGAGGGGCCTTCCAGCCTCAGTCCTGACCAGCCATTTCCCCAGTGGGCGTGGGTCGTGGGCAGGCGTAGAGGGGATCTGAAAGGCACTGGTTTCGGAGGGGATGTTTCCAGGAGAACAGCTCTCCACCAGTGGTGTGAAAGTATAGTTCTTAGGGGTTTTAGCAAGCTTTTCGGCATACCACCCGGACCTGTGCCCTCCTGCTGCAGTGACCGAGGTGGACCGGAGGTCACACTTGGTACCTCAAAGGTGATCCTTGGAGTTGTGGTCTCGAGCTCCAGAGGCTCGTGTTGTGCTAGGGCTCCCAGGCTTTTGTTTCAAAGAGGTCAGTGTTCCTTGTTGTCCTTTGCTGTTAGGAAGAATGGACCTCAAAGTAGTCACTGGTAACCCAGGAAATGTGCGGAGCGGGTACATGCCTATGCTGGAAACAGCAGTGTAAAAAGATGAAGAGAAATCAAGATCACTTTTTTCTTCACATTTCTGTTTAGTTTTTTTTTTAGCATTATGCCTTTATATCTATCCTGCTTAGAAATTTATACTTTTAACAGTAGTTGTTTAAAAAAGATCACTTGCTATTCAGGCCATCTTTGATTGTTTTTCTGGTTATGAAAAGCCTGTAGAACCAAAGTGGTACTCTGAGAAACTACCTCTGACCTTGACCGTAGCCTAGAAATAATTAACAATAGAAGAAGAATCTGAGACTCACACAAGTTGAAACTTATGCAGGGTATGATTTTTGCCTCAAACTAGAGCTCTGTGAAGAACCGAGCTTGCTGTTGATTTTTACTGTGTGTTTGGTGTGGTGCCTTTTTGCACAGAGTCAATGACTCAGTTTTTGATTGGGCATTTGTATTAATCTGCAGAATGACATGGGGAACCTGGTGCTTTTTTCATTCTCTTTATTTGCAAAATAGGCGATTCCTTTTCCTTTACATCATGTACCATCATAGGAGATCAGATGTGGTAATGAATGACTTTTGGAAAGTATATTGTTTTATTAGTACGAGGTATGAACTGTAACAGTGTTAAGCATATTGCTTCAATAACTGTTCCATAATACCGTTTTTTAAAATTTCTAGTGAAACCACTGCCTCCATCCAGTGTTACAGCAGAAATTACTACAAATTTTGGATTATTGAAAATATCTTGGGAGAAGCCAGTCTTTCCAGAGAATAAGCTTCAGTTCCAGATTCGCTATGGCTTACGTGGAAAGGAAATGCATTGGAAGGTAGCTTTCCTCTACACTTCTTCACCTTGCCTCACTGAAGGCTGTTTCTTATCCTGTTTAAGAGTTTTGTTGCATGCCACACTGATCTTACTGGCACAAAATATATCCTGATGTATTCTGTGTCATTAATCTGATTCTTCAAAGTCTGATTCTTTTAAGAACAAAATTTGATCCACTGTTTCCCAACATAACGCTAAAAGAACACCAGCTTCCTACAACGTCCCTTACTGACAGATTGGTGGCTGAGTACCTTTAGGAAACCGGAACCACCGTCTCTTCGTGATGGGAGCTGCGGTGTATTACAGAGAAAAGGTCTGGAGAGATCCTGCCTTAAGAAACATACAACTTTATTACCTCAGCCCGTGTTCCCACACTCGTTTATCCAAGGAATTCTTTTAACGTCTGTTAATGTCCTCAGGTACATGTTGATCAGTGTAGTGCATTTTGAAAGAAGCTGTTTTAGTTGGACAACCAGGGTCACAACTTGAGTGGCACTCGTGCATATGCTGGCTTTGTCAGTTTTGTGATGGCAGCCCCAAAAGACCTAAAACTGCCAGGAGCCTGAATTATGTCACTAGGTCACAGTGATTTCACTTACAGTGGGTGTAGACTCAGGTGTGGTGGTACATGCCTGTAATCTTAGCTACTCTAGAGGCTGAGGCAGGAGGACTGCAAGTTCAAGGGCAAGCTAGGTGACACAGCAAGACCCTGTCTCAGAATAAAAAGGGAAGGGATGTGGCTCAGTGGAAGAGCTCTCCCTGGGTTTGATTCCCCAGCACCACTTATAAATAAATTCATACATAAATAAACAAATAGAAGAATGTGATAGTTCACCTGTTTAATTAGCGAAACAGTATTTAGACAGAGGGCCTGTCTAACCACTCAGTAAGTCTTTGCAGATAGGGGCTAAGAGGACAGGGATTAGTAACAGGGTAAGAGAGGGCCTGGGAAATGAAGTTCCAGGTGAAGTGATCCGAAGTCTTTTCAACAGCAGCATCAAGAATCACAGAGAAGTCCTTGACTGGCACTGGCAGGTGATGATCTAAGCTGATTGCTGTGGCTCTTTCTGAAGCCAGATAACACAGAGTCAGGCCTCTCTCAATTCTGAAGTAGTGTTGAAGTTTGAAATAAAATGTGTGCACGTCCCTCAGACAGATGTGTCGCAGCGAGCAACCTAATACTTGGCCGTGTTTTGCAGACCCACGAGGTGGATGACGCAAAGGCAAAGTCGGCCAGTGTCCCGGTGCACGACCTGTGCGCAGTGTACACCGTGCAGGTGCGCTGCAGGAGGCTGGACGGGCTGGGCTACTGGAGTAACTGGAGCAGCCCGGCACACACGGCGGTCACAGACGTCAAAGGTCCGCACGCATTTTGTAAATGTGTCTTGAAAGCGCCTAAGAGGGTGCTTCCAAAATGACCGAGAATACTTCCAAGTCTGTTTCTACAGCTTGGGCTTCTTGTCACTTCACAGCTCCCGTGAGAGGACCCGAATTTTGGAGAAGAATTAATGGAGACGTTACTGAGAGCGAGCGAAATATCACCTTGCTCTGGAAGGTATGCTGTTTTTATGGTACTCGTAGGGTTTACTTCTGTGCTCTTACTAGATAAACTTCATCGTTCATAAACCGGTCTTCACTGTTAATCTCTCAGAACGATCTGCAGTCCTGGACTGTCGTTGCACTTTTAGGAGGGATTGCAGAACCAAGCGTTTAGTGGCTGGGCGTAGGCACAGAGTTAGGAGGTTTCAATTCTCTTCCCAGTGCAGTCCGCGATAATTATGGCATTATTATTTTGGCAAAGTCACTTCATTTGGATAAGTGTGAGATTGGATTGTTTAGTGTTCCTTGGGGTCCAGACTTTATTCACGTTAATCCTGAAGAACATAAATGTGCGTCACCTTTGCACTCCAAGACCATCTAACGCACAAGAGACTAATTCTGTCTCTAGGGTATTATGTAAATAGTGGGGTTTCCGTAAGTGTATAAAACCAGAAATTTCAAAGTATTCTTTCTACTAAAGGAGTTGATTTCTATCCCAACTGAATAGATCATTTGATTGGTAGATAGCAAATCTGAGGCTGGTTTGGGACTAGAACACGGGAAGTAAAAGGGTATTTGTCACCCTAAATTTTAATGTGAAATTCATTAGTACCCAACAATGAATTAACACACGTTTGAGAATAATTTCCTGATCAAAATCTAATCCTTGTGTAAAATTGGGGTACATTAAGAGTTTATGTCCATTTAGTTTGGAAACCATTAACGATATGATTTCAGGTGGGTGAGTCATGATTTCCAAGCAGTTTTCCACTTAAGTATTTATAATGTGATGTTAGCAGTAAGAACTGCCACAGATGTTTATGAAGCACTTACTTATTCTGAGTACCCGTCAGGTCTGTATCTCCCGGGGAATTCAGCATCTGAATCTGAGAGGCAGAGTGGGGAGCTGACCTCCCTGAGGAAAGAGGCTCTGCTGACGGAGAAAAAGCCGTCTCACTGGGCGTAAGGCTGGTGCTCGCCTGTCATCCCAGGACTCTGGGAGGCTGAAGCGGGAGGGCTCATAAGCTCAGGCCGAGCAACTTAGCAACTTAGAAGACCCTGTGTCAAATAGTAAAAAAGGGCTGGGGGTGTAGATCAGGCTGAAGGCCCTTGGTTCCAGTCCCAATATTGGGAGAAAAAATTCTGTGCCACCATCTTTCCCAGTAGGATCTTTTCTTTTCCTTCATTTTATTTCTGCGACACCAGCTCCAGAGGCCCTGACAGCCTCTATGTGAGGACTGGCAGCGATGTCCCTAAGACAGGGTTAGGGCAGCCCCAAGAACTTAGTCGACACAGCCTTTCTCGCTCTTATCTTACAGCTGTAGCAACTGCCTTCTGACCAGGGTGCGGCCTCCCTCTCATAGGAAGCTGGGAGGTGCCAGGGTGCAGCGCTTCCTCTGTCCGCTTTCTTCCTTTTTTTCCTTATTGAGTTTATTTGTTCATTTTAAGTATACAGTACAGTTACCTTCATTATTGGGATCTTGTACCTGTCCTCTTTCTTTTGACTGTGGAATCTGAGAATAAGACCTTGGCTGCTTTTTAGGGGGGACTCTCCTCCTCCTCGGCAGTCCTTATTTCTTCACAGTTAGAGCAGCTCCGTGGTAGAACAGTGTCCTAGTGGCAAGCTTCATCATCTTCTAGGATACAGTTGTTACTTTATTTTCCGGGGCTCAAGAAAATCCCCCCCGCCAAAGGGGAAAACTAAGTTTGCTCGTAACTCCAGGGTCCACTGTGTTGTTTTCTGCAGCCCCTGATGAAAAATGACTCTCTGTGCAGTGTGAGGAGATACGTGGTGAGGCACTGGACTTCCCACAATGGGACGTGGGCAGAGGATGTGGGGAAGCAGACCCAGCTCACGTTCCTGTGGACGGCACAGGCGCACACCGTTACGGTTCTGGCCGTGAACTCCATTGGGGCTTCCCTTGCGAACTTCAACCTCACCTTCTCATGGCCCATGAGCGAAGGTAAGAAGACACAGGGGAGCAGGCCATTGGTGCTTTCAGTATTCAACCCCTGCAGAGCCTTCCCGTTCTGAGCTACTGTTCCGGCAGCCCGGGATTGTCTTTCTCCTTCATTTGAAAAATAACAAAATACCTTGTACATTGCTTGTGGTCATGTGTTAGAACGCTGTTGAAATGGTATTACGATAAAAATATTCTAGTGTATCTGATCTTAGAGCAGTGGAGGTTGGAGATTAGCATTTCTCTTTCTGTAAAAATGAGTGAATCATGGGACAGTTCTGCACCCAGAATTGTGGGAAGAATTAAGTTCATGAACCGAGGTACCAGTTGTGATATATCGGTTCATGAACTCGATTCTTTTCACAATTAGGGTCACAAACTGAGTTGGACGAAAACCAAATTCAATGATTAGGGGGAATGTTGACCTCATGGAAAAATTTCTCATTTGGTTCTCATCCAGTTCAGTTTGGGACCAGAATCGTGGAGAAAATTGAGTTTGTGAACCGGTGAGCACTGGCTACGTGAATATCTAGTATTTATTTTATATAGTATACTGGTGCTATACTATATATTTTTATAATGTGTTTGTAAAAGTATGACAGGTTACACAGATGCATGCTAGTTGCTGAGGTTTGAAAATTACTATGGTCTCCCTTTAATGTGAGCAGTAAACCTTTTTAAAATTAATTTGGTGTATTTGATGAATCAGCGCTGAGAACCACTTTCACTAAGAGTTTGAAATCTGGATTATATATTAAAAGTATACATTTTTAACGGAAGATACAAATTTTCTGTACCTCTACCACTGTTAAAGGCCTTTCCTCCATGAAGTTTCTACTTAAGTATCTGTCTTATCTCTTCTTCAAATTTTAGGGCGCTTTGTCTTCCCAGTATATTTTGTACCCTGCCTTATGATTACTTTTAAACTTACAGTGTAAGCTTATTGTGGTTACTCATGACTGTTTTACACTTTAATTTACACTTAAATCCGAGTGGTAGAAATTTCAATGTGAGAAACCTTATACTGGCGGCACCGTTCAGAGTCTAATAGGTGAGACAGACACTAATCAAATCATGGGACAGTGAGTGTCTATTTGTAAACTGCGATCAATGCCTTCAGGAGAGGAATACAGTTTTATGAAGGAAAAGAGAAAGGAACCTACCTGGCATTGTGGGTCAGAAAAGCCACCTCGAGGACGTGTAGAACGAAATATCACCTGAAGTGTGAGTTGGAGTTGAATTTCCCCGAGAAGTTGGGAGTGGAGGGGGAGCACTGGTCCCCGGCAGAGGAGCAGCCCGATCCCAAGTCCTCACGGCAGAGGGACTGCAGGAAGGCCAGCGCGCTTAGGGTGGAGAGCCGCGGCAGGTTGCGAAGCCGGCCTTCACTTGGCCCTTGGGGCCTCAGCGAGCTAGGACCCTCCTCCTCAGGACTCTGCAGGACGCGTGAAGATGAGTCCATCTGCGCTGTGAGAGCATTGCCCCATCCGGGCGAGCGCACAGCTTGGAGGGAATCAGGGAACAAGGCCGATGGGCCTGTGCGGGGTTCCGGCCGAGAGCAGTTCTACTCTCCAACAAATTCCTTTGCTCAGGTTTTAGGTGGAACCCTTTCCCTCCTCATCTCATTTACCCCTTTGTCTGTCTGTTTACATGACTTGTGATGCACAAGTATTTGCCGGGTGTTATGTTTGTAAACATTGTGTGCCTTCTCTCAGCCAGTAGACCATGCAACCCTCGAGTATTAGTAAATCGCCGCGGATTTTGAATTTAAAGCAAACTTCCTTCTTCTTCCACAGTAAATGTTGTGCAGGCTCTTGGTGCTTACTCTCTGAACAGCAGTTGTGTGATTCTTTCCTGGCTGCTGTCACCCAGTGATTACAGTCTGATGTATTTTATCATCGAGTGGAAGAATCTTGATGAAGATGATGAAGTTAAATGGCTTAGAATTCCTTCAAATGTCAAGAAGTATTATATCCATGGTAAGTTTACTATACATTAATACATTTCTCTTATAAATTAATATGATCCTATAATCAACTGAAGTTATATAGTTATTGAGAATTTCAAAAATATAGACCATCTTAATACTTATAATCCTAGTACTTTATCAAAAAATTCATTCATTGACTTTGACATTTTTATCATAATATTTTATACAGTTGTAATCATATAACATATCCTGTATTTCTCCCCGATTTCTTTGCTACCGTTATTCTAAGTGGTCATATCACATTTTATTCCAAAATCTACTTAAACTTTTAAAACTTGAGGTGTGTAACAGCAGCAGTGAGTGGTGATAGTCGGCCAAAGTGTGAGGATTTAGGACCTGGGGACCTGAGCTACTGTCCTTTCGCAGAGGTAGAGCAGTTATCTCAAGAGCTGAGTCGTGCACAGAGTGTAGGTTGTGCCACAGGACACCTGCATGTCAGAGTAGGGTCCCAGGGATCCGAGCAGGGGAGCTAAGGATTGCGTGATCTTATTACCCAACATCACCCAAGAATGTCGCGTCAGGTCAGTTTCTTTATGAGTTGCTGATGGAGATGAATTCATTACCATTGTTGCCTACATCGTTTTCCTCTGACTTTCTTGAAACCACGAGGATATAGAAGTTAGACTTCAAGCGATCTGCCTCTCTGGAATAGTATTCCTATATTATCAACATCTGGAAACGTCATTGCTAGCTCTTTTTTGAGCTTTGCTATGGGGCTGGCCATTTCCCATGCAGCTAGACCCCTAATTGTTGCAGGAGGAGTCTTCTTTGCGTAGGATGTAGTGAGACTTTAGTGTCCCAGGTACCTTGAATGGGCAGTAATAAGCCACATTCCTGTTGAAAGGTAATGTTGCCTCCTTTGAGGACGAGGGAGAGAAGGGAGCCATAGTGTCCCGGACAAGGAAACAAGGGATTGAAAGAATCCATACACCCTGAACTTGAATTGGTTATCTGAGGAACATGACTGGAAAAAATTATGCTCTTCTATATCTGGGTTACAATTTTGAAAAATTATGTGGAAAAGTATCATCCTTGCTAGAGATTGGGAAGCTTCAATTAAATTTGCAGCTAACTACCTCGGTCATCAGCTTGGTCCATAAATAACAACAGATGTCTATGTTTGCATACGTTTTATTATGCACATCCCACTGAGTGGTGGTTAAACAAATGAGCTCTTAACTGTATTTTTCCCCTCAGATTATTTTATCCCCATTGAAAAGTATCAGTTCAGTCTGTACCCAGTATTTTCAGAAGGAGTGGGGAAACCAAAGATAATTAATGGCTTCACCAAAGGTAAAAATTTTACATTTAGTTTCCTTTTACACTGACATGTATTTTCTGATTTGTTAGAGGCAGTGTTGCCATTCGATTATTATTTTTTTATGGAATCGTGGAGGAGTTCACAGCCTTACATGTATAGATGTGTCAGAGGGTGGATCAGAAAGGAATATTGTTTCCTCTAAAAAATAAAATTGGAAAAAATGCCTTGGGCCTCCTGTTACTTCCTCGTTACTGCATAGGGAGTGCCAAATTTTGATAATGGTTTTAAATTGTCTTCAAATTCAGGCCAGTCAATAATGTAGCTTCAAGAGAGAACTGTCTTCTTTCTAGAATAAAAATAATTTTAGAGATTATTTGTATATTTTTCAAAACGTATTTATAGAGCATTGTTCTAAGAACTGGAGATCGAATGACAAGTCTCTCTTAAACTCCAGTGCTCTAATGGGACTGAGGGGCAGTAAGTAAATTGTGTCAAATATAATGTCAGATGAAATAAGTTCCATGAAGGAAACTTAGGAAGAGATGGGGTTAAAATGTGGTGTTTTAATCAGGATGGCCAGAAAGGATCTTTTTGTGGAGCTGATAGTTGAGGAAAGCCCTGTGTACGAAAGGGTGAGGATTCAGACTAAAGGGCAGCATGTGCAAAGGCCCCAGGGAGCGAGCAGGTGGTTCCCCAGGTGCGGAGGGCACAGGATAGAGACTGGTAGGTGGTGTAGGTGGGGTCTTCACCCTAACAGCTTCATTCAGGTTGTATGTAAGATGACCCGGTGGAGACATTTGACAAAGAATTTTGAAGAGCTCTTTTGTTGAATTTGAAGTATATGAATACAGTATATTTTTATCTTCCTCTTTATTTTAGAGTTTTGAAGAAAATACTGATTTATGATGAAACCAAAAAAATGTCTACTATAGCTTTTGAGATAGAAGGAAATTAGTATTTCATTAAGCTTGAATTGTGTTTCTTTTTTCAGTTGAAGAAAAACACCAGAATGATGCAGGTCTGTATGTAATTGTGCCGATAATCATTTCCTCTTCCCTCCTACTGCTGGGAACACTGTTAATATCACACCAAAGGTATGTTTCTTGGTGCCAAGAATCTTTCTGGTAAAAGCCCATATATATTTAAATCGAGATATAAAGCCCAAATCATGAGTATTATAGTACTAAGGTTACTTTATATGCATTCCATGTATACTTAAGATAGCATAAAAAGAAGGATGTTCTCAGGAGATAACTTTCCTTCTCTTTTTTTTTTTTTTGGTACTGGGGATCGAACTCAGGACCTTGCGCTGGCGA